AAAGACTGAGTAAAGTGTAATACCTTATTATGAAACTTTTTCTTAAACACTTTCTGATGAATGATGTTCTTGATATCATCCAACAAATTATGATGTCTTCTATAATTAATGTTTAATGCATTAAATCTAGTCCTAAGATGTTCTCTAAATTCAGGTGGCATATCCTCATCATCATATTTTGGTTCTCCTGGCCTTGCATTAATTTTCTTCAATTTTAACATGAACTTACATATAAGCTATTGATGGTCTATTCCACAGTCAGCCCCTGGTCTCATTTTGGCTGCTAATATTGAGCTTCTCCACTGTCTCTGTGTAATTCAACCGGTATGGTTCACATGTGTAGTTTCTGTTTATGCTATTTGAAAAGGGTATTTGCAATTAGGAAATCTGTTGAGATGGTGAGGAATTTTGTCAACTAGACACCTCTGGCTAAGGGTAGGGATTGAGCCCCATGTCAACCAGGTCAAAGCCTGATGACATCTCCTTGGGGGCATGTCCTTTTGAATAAGACAGAGCCCAAGTCAAAGCAATCCCCTTTGGCCCTTCACCTTGTGCTTGAGCTGGATCTAGCTGATCACTTTCCTGTGGTGTAGCCCACTGATTCCCAGGAGCTGTCAGTGGACAACAGAGAGTGAACTCATTCAGCCAACCTCACATTTATGTACCTCTGCACCCACAGCCCATGACGCCACTGCCTCATCGTCTGAGTTTCTATTTCAGCTTCCACAGCTACACAAGTCAGGAAAAGCCTGACTTGAAGCAGACTGACTTCGACATCTGTATAAACCATTTCTCTCTCTAAAGCTCTCTCTATAGCCAAACACATGCTAGCGCCACTGATTGTGCTTCTCTGGAAAATCTAACCTAGTATATTAGTCCTGCAAAATTCTATCACACTGTTCCCAGCTCTAATATCATCTGCAAGGCTATAATTTCCAAGAACTGCTCCTTCATTTTAGCTTCCAATTGTTGTTTTCCAATTGCCAATAAAGATAAATGTCTTGATGACATTTGATTGATTTCATTTTGAGAATGAATTTTTCTAAGTTCATACTTTGTACAGTTCAAGTTCTAATTACTAATAGATGTTTCTTCTGAATTTGAGACTTGGCCCATCCGCAACTGAAAGTCTCCCGTGCTTTACTCCATCCACGTTAGGATGGTCAACTCTACTTTGAGAAGGCAGTTTTTCCTCGCTGACCTTTTAAGTGTCTTCCAACCTGAGTGGCTCATCTTCTGATACTGAACCTGACAATATTCTGCTGCTCTCCTTCAGGTTTTCAGTGCATCCAACAGTGTTCGCCTGCTGTTCATAAAGTCGTCAGTGGCTAATCCCTCAGAAGTGGACAACCTTTTCCTTCTTCCTGCCCTGTTCTTAGTCTGGAAGGTCCACTGAAACCTTTTCACCTTAAACGGCTCTACTGGCATTCAAAACATTGATGATGTGGCTTCTACATCACAGCAACGTGAAAACCACCATAGTACAACAAACTGGCAGACTGGTGATAAGAATGTCAATGTCAATCATTCAAAGCAGTTTCTTCTCAGTGACCTCAACTCTTTTGTTCCCATGCATTACAAAAGCCAAACTATCTTCAATCCATAGCTTTAACAGTTTTCATCTCCATTCTAGTTGTCTAGATAGGGAAAAGGTAGATGTTTGTGACCTGTGCTGTAAGTGTCATATTTTGCTTCTGCTCATATCCTGTTGGCTAAAACTCTGTCACAAAGCCATACTGCAATGGAGACTGCAGTATTTTGAGTTATGCCCAAGAATAACTTGAGAATTTGCATTTTTGGCAAGTGGTTAGCATTATTGTTATACTTCCAAGAGCCACAGCAAGAGCAAGTGGAGAAAATAGAGCACATGTGTTTGACCCAGTAGGTTCTGGGGTTAGGGGACTCATGTGTGCTGCCATTTCCCAGTCAGCTCTGTATGTAAACCATAGTCTATATTCCTGCTTATGCTGTGTTATAACAATTATATAATATCACCTACTTCTTAGAGTAAATGATAAAATTAAATCATATGGGTAGGCTCATCAGATTCACATCAGAACTTGGTCCATGTTAACTATTAAGTAAATATTAGTTAAATTTATTAGCAATAATTATGATTACCGATCATAACTGATTTGTGAAACGAAGCCTAGCTTTCATCACTGCTTAGGAAGATCAGAGTACTGACAAACAACCCAAATTGCTTCATAAGAACTACTGCATGCCATGCAAATTATTATGTATAGTAAGACACACACACACACACACACACACACACACAAGACCTATGTTTCTATATAGATTTTTAAAAAATCATTTTATTGGGGGCTCATGCAACTCAACACAATCCATACATCCTTCCATTGTATCAAGCACATTTGTACATTTATTTGTTGCCCTCATCATTCTCAAAACATTTGCTTTCTACTTGAGCCCTTGGTTTCATTTTCCCCTCACTCCCCGGATGGCCCCCACCCTCACGAACCCTTGATAATGTATAAATTATTATTATTTTGTTATGTCTTACACTGTCCCACATCTCCCTTCACCCACTTTTCTCTTGTCTGTCCCCCAGGGACGGGGTGATATGTAGATCTTTGTAATCAGTTCCCCCTTTCTACCCCAACTTCCATCCACCTTCCCAGTATCAGCACTCTTAACAGTGGTCCTGAGGGGTTCATTTGTCTTGGATTCCCTTTGTTTCCATATCTTATCTGTACCTATGTACATCCTCTGGTCTAGCCAGATTTTTAAGGTAAAATTGGGATCATGTTAGTGGGGGGTGGGGGGAGAAGCATTTAAGAACTAGAGGAAAGTTGTATGTTTCATCCATGCTATACTGCACCCTGACTGGCTCATCTCCTCCCCACGACCCTTCTGTAAGGGGATGTCCAGTTGCCTGTAGATGGGCTTAGGGTCCACACTCCACACTCCAACTCATTTACAATGATTTGATTTTGTGTTCTTTGATTCCTGATACCTGATCCCTTTGACACCTCATGATCACACAGTCTGGTGTGCTTCCATGTGGGCTATGTTGTTTCTCAGGTAGATGGCCACTTGTATACCTTCAAGCTTTTAAGACACCAGATGCTATATCTTTTGATAGCCGGGCACCATCAGCTTTCTTCACCACATTTGCTTATGCACACATTTGTCTTCAGTGATCATGTTGGTAAGGTGAGCATCATAGAATGCCAATTTAATAGAACAAAGTGTTCTTGCATTGAAGGAGTACTTGAGTAGAGGCCCAATGTCCATCTGCTACCGTAATACTAAACTTATAAATATATGCACATAGATTGATTTTCGCATCATATATAAATATATTTACATATGTATATGCCTGTATTTAGACCTCTATAAATGCCCTTTGCCTCCTAGTTCTTTCCTCTATTTCCTTTTACTTCCCTCTTGTCCCACTATCATGCTCAGCCTTCATTTGGGTTTCAGTAATTCCTCTCGGTTACATTGCCATTGATCAAGCCCTCCCAGGCCTCTTACACCCTCCTCACCACCGATTTGGATCACTTCTTGTTCCCTTGTCCCTGGGATTGTTAACACCATTTCCTATCCCCCATATCTCCCTCTCCCATGTCCCCCTGGAACCATCGGTCCATTGTTTTCTCCTCCAGTTTGTTTATCCAGCCTCTCTTATACAGATAGACCTGCAGAGATAATAATATGCACAAAAACAAGACAGAGCAAAACAAAACAACAACAACAAACCAATGACAAAAAAAAGAAAACCCTGTGAATAGTTCAAGGTCTGTTTGTTGACCTTTAGGAGTGTTTTCAGGTCGAGTTTGATGGGGTGCCATGCCCTCAATAGAGATTTTAATTTGAAGTCTGAACAACAAGATAGGAATGAGTGATATTAAATAATGCCCCTCCAGGCATAAGTATGACTCCAACAGTAGTTGGGGATTATCTGAATCTATCTCATAAATAATCACTTAGGCACATATGTGAAGTTAATAATCACACCCATGTCACTCATTTTAAATTAGCCAACTTCTGACCAGTATGATGAAGGTCAAGTGATCTTCATTACTGTAGATTACACTGAAATGCAAAGCCCAACTGGGTTGCATGGTCACTTTGGTCCGTAATACCTTTGCCATGGGATTGAAGGTGTCACCAGGAAGTACTATAGTTAGTACTTCAGAGAGGAAGTCTGACTTGATAAAGTTCAACTTTGAGTTCAGCCAATGAAAAGACTTACAATGGGCTATGATTGCTCAACTGTTCTCCTCAATCCTTTGCACAGATGTTTGAAAAATCACTTTTAAAAACTTTGCCTCAGAAAGCAGGCACTGTGTGCCATAGCCATAGAAAGTGTAGTAGGGGAAGAAAAGCGACAGTTCTTACTAATGTGCTCCCAGCCAGTAATAGAAATGTATATAATCCTAGTGAGCAATCCTTTCTGAGCAACAAAAATTATGAAGGTCAATGGACTACATTTTTGATAATTGCAAGATGCTCTTAATATTATTTTTTTAATTTCTTACCTCACACAACAGCAAAATTCAGGGTGAGTGTAAGCCATAAAACCCATTATGTGAAAAGGAAGAAATAGAATAATAGAGAACAAAACAAAACAACCTAGGGTCAGGGGAATTGAATTAAATAAATGCAGGTAATTTCTAACTTTTGATATTTCATAGTAATGACTCACCAATTTTTTAAAAAGTTTTATGCAGCTTATCATCAGGACGATGTCCTACATCCAAGCCCAAGTGCGTATTTGTCTGGTGCTCTCCTTCTTAGATGTTCACTTGAAGATGTTTAAAGATCACATTTATAAAAACACCAAAAACAATAATCAACATATTCTTGAGAAACAGAGCCTGCAAGGAAGGAATTAACTTGAAACTAGCTGAAAGTTTTATGCAGAAATTTTATTTCAGTTGATTTCTTATGATCATAGGGACTGTGTTGCTCTCCATGTGTTAATTTAGTGTATTATACTAATTGACTTTATAAATATTTATTTATAGCTTTTACAACTGGGATAGTCATATTGCTGTCTGGAATTCAAGCCCCAATTATCAAGTGATTGCTGACAATCCAGAAGGTTTACTCTTCAAATACAAAAGAGATAGAAAAATTCTCAATGTGGATCCCAAGGTAATTTTTATTTTTCACCAAAGGTCTCTTTACAACTGGATTATATTTACATCATTATTCAAATATGTATTAAATATTTGATACTCTTAATTTTTTTTAATTTAGAAGTGAGAAAAATGAAATATTGAAAAATCTCTATATTTAAAAATTGTAAATAGTAATAATTAGGAATTGTGTTAGGCTCTGTTCTCTACAGAAGCAAAACCAATGACTATATTAAAAGAGAGGGGACTTTATATCAAGAAAATGGCTCACACAATTGTGGTAGCAAGCAGGTGGAGTCCAGTTGCAAGTCCCTGGGTCAGAGGTTAAGCTGGATGTTAAGGCATTAAGCTTCTTAGTTGATATCTCACTTAGATGGCTGCTTGTTTGGAGATAACCCTTTAAGACCCCAGATGCTATTTTACCTGATGGCCGGGAACTATCTAATTTCTTTGCTACATTTTGCTATAGCACCCTTCCCTCCATGTTTCCTTCCTGAAGGTGGGGAAGCATGCCATTGTCAGTCACCGAAGGACTGTGAAATATATCATCCAAAATTGAAGGGAGGGATTAGTCTCAGAGCCCAAAGACTAGGAATCTGGTTTGCAGAAGGCTACGGATGACAATGGGAGGCCAAGATTCATTGGTGTAATGATGTAGGAAATAAGCCTCTGGTGAGCTCCCTCTCTCCACCATGGAGGGATAGGAGGAGAGTGATCACTCAACAGAGTGCATTGGTGAGTTCAGTGCAGAAGGCCAAAGGCAGAAGCCTGACTTGAACAGTCAAAGCTTGTCAGCAGATTCCCGCTATGATGCATGCTGGACCTGATCTTGTTTCCAAAACTTTATGTATTTGGTGGTTGGACTGTTCTGTTTGATTTATGATTGCACATATTAGGGGATGTCTCAGAAGAGTTATATCATTGGGGTTCACCCTCTTGAAGTTGCAGTATATGGTTTTCATTTTTTAGTCTATGAAAAAAAGACCAATGAACCTACAGAGTCAGCCAGTGGAATAAGGATTTTGGCGGGAGGGGGACATAGAGGTAGGGGTAGGGTGAAAAGGTGACATTGTCAAGGGGTCCATATAGAAAAATAATCTTTGGAAACTGTGGTAGCAAATGTACATTTCTGCTGGATGTGATTGAACTATTGAAGGATTTAGCATATTATTGATCATCATAATAAATATGTACATTTATTACTGACTGTGATTGACACACACATATATGTATATATACCTGTATATGTGTGTGTGTATCTTCTTCTTACACAAGTAGTTTGGGTATTTAATGAACCCAAGAATGGTAGGAACACCAGAAGCAAATGTGTCCAAGTCAGAGGTAAATTAACTCACCAGGTCAGATAGCAGATTTGATGGCAGGCCACTGCTGGTTTCCAGGACAGGCAGGCAATATAAAAGACTGCTGGCTCAAGTTCAAAGAACCAGTGGTAGCTGAGCCAGATGTAAGATCCAGAGCCAGGAAAAATAAAACAAGCTTCCCCACAGCATCCACTTATATAGGAAGTAGGCAACCCACCCCCCCCAACCACTGAGGACTTTTTCTTTCACTTGTATAAAGGACTTTTTCTTTCACTTCTGAACTGAGTAAGAAGGTTTCCTTTTATTCTAATCTTCACACAACTGTTTAGCTAATCCAAGCAGATCCCAGTTGCTTATACTGTGTTAAGTTACATCAGGGGAGAGTATTAGGTCTCAATTTCAAATCTACTGAAAATCCTGGCCTAGATAAATTGACACATATTCCAACTATCACAGAAATAATAATGAAGAGTTTGGGGACAAATTGAATTGAGATTCAAAAGCAGAAACAACAGAATCCTCAGTGATGCTCTTGGGGAAGTTTCAACTTTAGACACAAAGTCAGTGGTTCAAACCCAGTAGCCATTTCACAGAAGGAATGTTAGGCTATCTATTTCTATAAATATTTTCAGGCTCAAAAATTCTAACAGTAATTGAATCAATGTCAGTGGGTTGAATTGTCAAAAAAAAGCATTGTATTACGGAGCCATAATCATTCAATATGTATGCTAATAAAATAATCCAAGAAACTGAACCATATGAAGAAGAATGTGGCAGCAGGGTTGGCAGAAGACTCATTAACAACCTGCCACATTCAGGTGAAACAACCTTGGTTGCTCAAAGGGAAGAGGATCTGAATCATTTACTGTTGATCAAAGACTACTGTCTTCGGTATAGATTACAGCTTAACATAGAAAGCAAAACCGCAATAAGGGCCACGCCCCCTAAAAAGAAAGAAAGAAAGCAAAACCAAAAATACTCACAACTAGTACATTAAGCAACCCTACAATAAAAAGAGAAGACTTTGACGGTGCCATCATTTCAGTTTTCTTTGATCCACAAAAAAGGGACTTGGAAGCTATTGTCAGGCAATCAGACGATGTATGTCATGGCACAAATCTGCTACAAAAGATCTCTGTAAAGTGTTACAAAATGAAAAGGATAATCTGAAAACTACTGTGCACCTGACCCGAGCCATAGTGTTTTCAGTCACCTTCCACGAGTTCAAACACTGGGTAACGAATCAGGAAGATTGGATTACAGTGTTGACAACGAAGATTAAATAGAGAGGGCCTGCAGAAGAATGAACACAACTGTGCTGGTACTGCTAGAATTCCCCTTCGACACAAGGATGGTGAGACTCCATCAGAGGTACAGTGGACCTGTCATCAGGAGAGACCATCCCTGGAGTAGGACATTCTGCTTAGTAAAGTCAAAGTGAGCAAAAAGGGGGAGACAACAAGGTAGGTTGACACAGTCACTGCAGTCGGCAGCACTAGGAAACAGAACTCACACTATGGCGCCTACCACCACCGCCCTGATATTTAAACACATTTATTACAGTATTATAAAGATGTATTTCCCCGGGCACTTCCATTTTTAAGGACAGATGTATACGCCTTATCTATTTTTAAGACTGCTTGAATGTTGATTGATTTTAGCCATGAGTTGACATGGCTAGAAAAAAAGGCTAAAATTTTATGGAAAGTAGTGTTTTGGAGGTGTTTCAATTCTTTTGTTTAATCTTTTATATATTAAAGTATCCATTCAAAAATTGAGAATCTAAAGGGAAAAAATCTTTAGAGTGAAAGAAACAGAAATTATGTTATACATATGAGTTATGGACAGTGACAGACCCAAAGAAAAGAGGAGTCGGAGTCTAAAAACTTTTCCAACCATAGTATATACTCTTTAATATTCATTTATTATAGCTCCTTGCTCATGAGGGGGATCAATAACTATACGTTCAAAGAAAAAATGAATATAATTCCATAGCAGGAAATTAATTATCATCTGCAATCAGATTCAGCTGCAGATATTAGAAACTTCCAGACCGTGGTTAAACAGTATAGCAGGAAATGAATTATCATACGCAATTAGAATCAGATGCATACATTAGAAGCCCTACACAGTGGCTTACACACATGAGTCTTGATATTGGCAATTTCATGTTGGTATGGCAGCTCACACAGTTGCCTTGAACCAGATGGTCCTCGTCCTCATGAGCCAAATTGGCTCTCTCATTAAAACTACCACATAGCAAATGTAACATAGAGAATAGGGTGAAGGACACAAAGAGCATGACCTCGTTGCCCATATGAGTTCCACCTCTGACGTTTAGTGAGAGACAGCTGTTTCACTTTTAGTGCACGCTATCTTCATAGGGTCACTATGGGGCAGAAGCAAGTTAACAGCAGTGAGAGAGAGAGAGAGAGAGAGAGGGAGAGCTCCTGGCAGGAACCAGCACAATAGGCGAATGACTCAAGAAATGGGCTTCACTGCACCATCACTTGCATCAGATTCCTCAGGACATGCATGGCCCACTAATCATATCAAAGTAGATGGAGTTCTCAATTTTTTTCATGATATTTGAAATGCTATTAGCTACTGAAAACACATGGCTCCAGCAAAAAGTTCAAAGCAGAAAATTATTTGGTTTCTAAAGGGTTCTAGAAGGTTCCCCAAAACTGCCATATGGCTATGATTTTAGAGTTTAGTCACATGGTCATATATGGTCATATATAGCTATATCAAAGTCTGAGTAATATGATCTGTATTCAGGTGCCTATACACCCAGCTAAAAATGGGGGTTCCTAACAAAAGAAAAAAAGTAGTTTTGGTAGACAGCTAGTAGTTTCTGACACAATACTACCTCCTTGAAATGAACATTAAGTTCTCACGTTTGTTTTAGCAAAATTAGGGGACTAGGTCAGAATGTGTTTACAGTCTCTTCTTATGTATCTAGGAATGTCAGATAAGTTCCCCTGTGTGCTTTCTCTCTACTATGTCCCCTTTTTGATTCTCACAAATGGTGTCAATATTTGATTGATTCAGGAAAAGTACAGAAAGTTTAATAGGAGAAATTCACAGACTCGTATTTTTAGAAGGCTAAATTCCATATGAGGGGACTTCAAAACTTGTTGACTTTTTAAATTATCTTCTGTTATGTTTTCCACAAATTTTTGAAACTCCATCATACATGAAAAAAATACATAATTGTTAATTGTTTCATGAATACAAATAAAATCCATTGCCATCAAGTCAATTCTGAATCATAACGTCTTTACCGATAGAACAGAACTTCCACACAGGATTTCTGAGGCTGGAATATTTACAGAAACAGATTGAAATATTTGTATTCCACAAAGCAGCTGATCGGTTTGAACCAGTTAGAAGCTGAATGCTTTAATCATTGCACTACAGCCCTTTAATAGCTTGATTAAATTGTGGAAATCAGCTATAAAATTTTCTTATAATTCTAATAGTTAACTAATAGCATACATAGATTTCAATATATGTCATAGATTTCAATATATGTCATAGATTTGCTATTTTATTGTCTCTTGGGGAATCATTATTGAACATTAACTATTAATTGAACACAGTTAAAAAAAACTTTAAAATCCTCAGCTCAAAAATAATGTCATGGACATTTCAAGGACTTAGTCAACAATACATTAAAATATAGCATTTC